TTACGTATCGAGTGGAAACTCTGGGGGACAGGGTGGGCGTGGGGTCAACTCAGAAAGTAAATGCCAAACTGCCTCCCCAAGTGGCTGCACTGTTTTACACGCCCACAGGAGAGCACGCAGGGAGTCCCTCTTGCTCGCGCCCCTCAACATTCGTATATCGAGGCCCTGACCCCCAGTGCGGCTGCGTCTGGACCAAGGGAGTCATGCAGGGTCAAGGAGGTCATGTGGGGGGGGCAGCTGACCCAACAGGTGAGGACACAGTGTGAGGGTGGCATCTGCAAGCCAGGGAGAGTCCTCGCCGGGAACAGAACTGGCTGCAACACCGACCCCGGACTTCCAGCCTCCAGAACTGTGAGAAAATAAATGTGGTTTAAGCCACGTGGGCTGTGGTGTTTTGTTACAGCAACTTGAGTGAGCCAGTAATTGGTTTGGTCAGCCACTAAGTTCTGTCCTCTTGGGGGGGTGGGACCTCAGCGTCCATCCATGTGTGTTTCGTGCAAGTGCTGGGACAGCCACGCGCATGCCTGCCGAGACCTCTCCCTTTTTCAGAGTGAACTGTCCGTTAGTGACATGCATGAGTTCTTCATATACTCCACACGGAGGTTCTGCCAGGTGTGTGTTGTGAGTGCTCCCTGCAACCTGTGGCTTGCCGTTTTTTCATGGTGTCTTTTGAAGAACCCAAGATTTTCATTGTTTTGACATACAGTTTACCCATTTTTTTCTCTTATGGTTAATGGTTTCTGTGCTGTAAGCAATCTTTGCCTCTCCGAGACTGTGAACGTTCTAAGTTATCTGCGAGGAGTGTCTGGGTTTTATGTTTGCGTCCACCTCGAACTGACTGTCGTGTGTGGTGTGGTGGGGGGTGGGGTCCGTGTGCCCGTGTGGATACCCAGCACTGGCGGGGGAGACACTTTTCTTTCTCAGCTGAACTGACTTGCTGTCTTGTCCAGAGGTCACTTGACCGTGACTTCAGTGTGGGACTACTTCCAGACTGACCCACCCCGTCGATACGGCTCTTGGCCTCTCACCTCCCCTGGCGCCTCGAGGGCCACATCCTCTGGGAAGGCCTGAACCCACAAGCAGTGTGATGCCGACAACTTTACTCTCATTCAAGACTAGGTCCTGCGCATTTCCACGCACACCTAAGACTTGGTTCGTTAATTTCTAAAAAGAAAACCCTTCTAGGATTATGTTTGGGGCTGCACGAAATCTATCAACCAGTTTGGGGACAACTGACCCTTGGCTGGTAACGAGCCTTCTGACCACAAACGTGGAAGACCTACTTGCCCAAGTCTCCTCTCAGTGACGTTTGGTGGTTTTCAGAGCACAAGTGTTGCACTTCTGTGAAAACTTCCTAAGTATTTTATGGTTGTGGATGTTAGGGGTATATTTTAAACTTTCATGTTTTTGACAGTTTTTGCCAGCTCATGGAAATATTGGCCCTGAGTCCTGCACACTGGTCGACTTCAATCCCTAGTTCTACGGCCCTTGTGATCTTCCACATACGTGATGAACAGAGATAATTTTACTTCCTCTGTTCCAATCTTCAGGGCCTTCACCACTTTTTCTTGCTTTAATGCACAAGCTAAGATCTTCAACACACTGTTGACTAGCCATGAGGAGGTTGGCCACCACTGCCCTGTTCCCAGTCTTAGAGGAAAAGTGTTCAGTCTTTCACCATTTAGTATGTTAGCTGTAGGTAGTTTGTATAGTTATCTTTTATCAGGTTGAAGAAGTTTCCTTCTATTTCTAGTTTGCTGAGAATTTTTTTGGTTATTGTGAATAAGTGTTTAACATTGTCTAATGCTTTTTCTACCTAGAATGAGATGAACATATCATTTGATCTCTTTCTTCCTTATATCTGGTAACTTGGTGAATTACATCTATTTATTCATGTCCTACCAGCCTTGCATTCTGGGGAAAATCCCACGTGGACTTGACAACTTTATGTACTCTGGATTCATTTGCGAATAATTCCTTGATAATTTTTGTTTGTGCTCTTGAAGAACAGTATTCTGTAACTTCCCTTTTTGAAATGTCCTTGTCTTCACCGGCCTCAGGAGAGTGAGCTGGGAAGGGTCCCCTCTCCCGTTTTCTGAATGTGTGTAGATTTGTTACCACTTCTTCCTTAAATATTTGATAAATCTCATCAGTGGAGTCGTCTGGGCCTGGAGTTTTCTGTGGGAGGTACCTTTTGCATGTTTAATGACTCAGTTTATAAAATGATTCAGCTGTGCTGACCCTCTTGTGTCAGTGTCAGAAACCTACCTACCTCTATGTCCTCTAACTGCCCACTTCATGTGCATAAAGTTGCCCATACTACTTCTCTTTAACCTTTTATTTTGAAGAAAATCTTAGACTTCAGAAAAGCTGTAAAAATGACAAGGAGACCCTGTACACGTGTCACTACTACTTCAACCCTACTTGGGTTTCACCAGCTTCCCACTAACGTCCTGGCTGACGGCTCCTTAGGCTTTAATTAAGGTATGACTTGGATACTTGAAATGCTGGTCTGAAGCTGTGCAGAACGTCCCGCAGTTGGGGCATGTCTGATGCTTCCTCATGGTTAGATCAGAGGATTCATTTTGGACAGAAGTGATGCTTTGTCCTTGGAGCTGCATCCTCTGCACAGATTCCTCCCCTCTGTGCCCTGGCCGCTGCCTCCAGCAGGAAGCCCTCCGGCCATCACTGCCTCCCCGCGGCAAGGACCCCGGCCTCCCCGAAGAGCCAGGCAGTCAAGGGCTCAGCTCGAGAGTTTCCCTCTGGACCCCGGCCCACCTGGCTATCGTCGGGTGTGAAAACATTTGTGTCACCATGTGTCTAGTTTCCAGCTGCTTCCAGAGAAGGGCAGCCTGGTGCCACCTCTCCAGACACCCGAGGATGGAGTGGCCGCAACGACTGCACCCCGGGCACCTGGGGGGACCAGGCCACCAGCGGGCAGAGAGGTTTCCTTCCTTCTGCTCGGGCACCCCCACCCACACGACCTGGGGTCCCCTCTGAGGCTGAGCTCTGAAAGGACCAATCTGTCCTCTGGGGCATGTGAAGCATGGCCAGACTACAGAACCACAAGCGGGTCTGAGCGTCTGGGACAGTCACCAATTCTGATCGAGCAGCAGAAAATCGGGGCCGGGCTCATCCCGGGCAGCGTCTGCTCAGCTCCTACAGACTGGACAACTTGCCGCTGTCACTCCTTTTTATCAAGTCAACTCTGTCGTTCTGCTTTCCTACGAAGGGAGGTTAATAATATCCAACGTACAGACGGAATCAAGTAATTACACCTTTTAGTGCACCTGATAATTTTTTATCCAGCTGGTGCTAACAGTCAATCAAAATGCCATAAAAGGTGCTTTACAACATGCTAATGACTCGCCGCCCCTGTGAGGCATCGTGGGAGTTTGTGCAGCCACGAACCGGGCTCAGAGCAACCTGACAGCTCTGCCACCCAGAGCTCTGCAGCCGAAGCTACCGTCCCAGGAGGGTCCTGATAAAGTCCTTAGTAACAATGCATATGTTTTTATGCTTTTTAAAGCCAGCTGAGAGAGAATCTACAATTGAGCCCTAGACGGACAAGGAACAGCAGCCTTGAAGCTAAGAACACCTGTGTGGTGGCGAGACTGCTCACGGTTTCGTGTTTCATCAAAGGGACCTATGAAAACCATGCTCATCTTTCTAATTAAATGGAAAAATGAGTTTAGGGAAAGCATCACACTTTGCCGTGGAATCTGGATCCACACAATCACCCAACACGGTGTTTCCAAGTGTCTGTAGTTGCTCATACCCCGCTGGGTTGGGAACCTGGCCAACCACCCTGGCCTGTCTCCCACCCCCCACCCCCACCCCCCTGCCACAGAGCTCATCCCTCTGCACCCAGCTGCCTGCAGTGCCCCCGGAGCCTGGCCAGACGGTGCAGACGTGGCAGCTACCTGAACCACCACGGCGTGACGGCCAACACCCTGGGAGTCCAGGAGGGGAGCCTGTGGGAGTGGGAACCCATGGTCCTGCTTGAGGACTGGCCCATTCCCCTAGACAGCAGATGCCATCACTTGCTAGTTCAGTCTTCCCAGCAGACTGTGGCACCAGCCAGGACGTGGGGCGACGGGGGCTTCAAATACAGAGAGCCGCAGAGGGCAAGGCGGCGCTGTGCTGCCTGGGGGACGTGGCCCCCCTCACATAAGAAGCCCATGAGTAAACCGAACATTTGACAAGGAAGGGGCAGCATGCCGCAGTGGAGGACACCGACTTTGCAGGAGAACCAGCGCCGGCCCCCACCCCCCTGCAGGCTTGTATTTTCCCCCATGAGGAACGACTTAGAGCGAACAGACACTAGACTGTCTGGACGATGTGAAAGAAATGGGTATTTTACATTTTAGCATAACAAGCAGGGCAGAGGCGGAAGGGAAAGTACACGAAGTCGCCCAGACCTCTGCCTGGTGAACCACCTCACTCCTGATTTTAAGTTTCTGAAAACTAGAAGGTGTAATTAAAACTGAGACGTGCACTTTCCACAGCTGCATGGCAGGTGGGAGTCGAGGAGCCTGGTCCCAGGGCGCAGCAGGAGGGTGTGAGGGGGAGAGGACGTGGCAGGGAAGCGGGACAGCTGAGCACCACCACAACCACACGGGGAGGCATCAGGAGAAGGGGCTCCACCGGCAGAGAGACAGGAGGGCGCGAGGCCGGGGTCACAGACAACATCGTGTGACCCGCTAACACGTTTCCCGACATTTCAGATGCTCCATACACACCAGGAGGGCTGGGGGGGAAGGGGTGACCAGGGGTCCCTCCCCTGAGTGTCCCCGTGGAATGACTCAAGTCCTGGTTTCCCACAGAAAATGGCCATGCCAGAGGGGCCAGTGGAGCATCGAGTGCTCAGAAACAGGCCTCGGACATCATGGAAAGTGGTGGAAGGGGCACGGCTGGCCTGGCTGGCGGGAAGGCAGCAAGGCAGCCACTCGTTTTTAGTACGTTTCATTCCAAGTATAACAAATAAAAGTTCTACTTACCGCTCCGAGCATGATTCTGAAAATCAGCCACCGATAGCCCCACAGGACGATCCGGGACGTGGGGGTCCCCCTGGGCAATGGAGACAGAGTCCAGAGAGGGCACAGGAAAATCCCCAGGAAGCCCGTCTCCAGAAGCTGGGACTCCCATCCTGAAATGAGGGCAACAGAACACAAAGGACGAGTGAGCAGCAGTGGACACTTTCCGAGGAAGCAACTGCACCAAACCCGGCTTAACCCAGACGGTCCTTCAAACAGGACAAAGAGCAACCGAGACACAGCTCCTGGCTGAGCCTAGCTGCTCAGGCCGTGGCTCCTGCCCTTTGCAGGGCGCCCACAGACACGGTGCAGCCCCTGAGGAGTCACCAGGGTGGACACGGGCACCAAGCAGGCTGGACGACCCAGACGTGAGTTGCTAAGCGCAGAGCAGACTGTGGTCCCATCTGCCCAGGTGAGGGAGGGAGCCGGGGGAGTAGCAAGTACAGGCCCTGCGTGGCTCAGCCTGGCACCGCTGGATGGGGGGCATCAGTCATTCTTCCTGCTGGGGAGCCCATGTGAGAAATGCAGGTGTGAGCAGCACACCTGAGTTCTCGCTCCTATCATGGAGACGGCCCCTCACACTGCGTCCCCAGGACACCCGCAACATGGAGCTGGTCTTGGGCTGCATCAAAAGGAGCCTGCGCTGCGCTTTGTGGGCTGCACGACTTCCCTTTCACCCCACACTGATGAACCTCAAAAACATTCTGCTGCGTCAGAGACGCTTCAGACAAGGGCAAACACTCTACAGTTCCACTGATGTAGGTTCCAGAACAAGCTGCCCCCATGCAGGTGAGAGAAATTAGAACCTGGCTGCCTGGGGGGTCTGCACCCTGGGGGTGGGAGTGCTGGTCATGGTGGTGCACTGGCCAAGACTTACCAAAAGCACCTTAAGGTCTGTGCATTTCAATGTTTGTAAACTTCTCAAAAAAAGACAAACCTAAATGAATTTTGAACCCCACTCTGAGACACACTGAACCGTTAAGATGAGGCATGAACAGATGTGTGATGATGCCAATAGAGCCAAGGACCAGCCACGGCCAAATGTAGGTGGTGGGTTTGCGGGTTTTTACTGTACAACTGTCTGAAACTTTCTGTGGCTTGAAATTTTTCATAGTAAAATGTGGAGGGAGAAATCCCACTGACTCTCATATGCTCTGGATTTCTGAAGCTCGGTTCCACATCGGTTCTTCTCTGGAAGACAAACAGGTGAGTTTGCCCAAAGGCAGCAGTGCCAACACCAGGGTGGCACCGACGGGTGGGCCGTCACTGCCTAGGGTCTCTGTGGGCTCACTGCATTGGCTGAGCCACCTGTGCTGGGGGATCTGGGGACACCAGCGTGCACCCTGCACTGTCTGGAGATGATTCCAGAAGCAGAAAGAAGCCTGGACAGTGCTGGGGAGGTGCCCGGGGGAGGGAGCCGAGTGAGGCGGGCGACTGGAGCCCAGAGCGCCACCAGGCTGTGGCCAGGCCACGACCAATGGAGACGGTGGGCCTGTCAGCACAGCTGTCACCGACGGGAGAGGAAGGCAGAGCACAGGGCGCTCTGGCCAAGGCCGAGATGGGGACATCGGTGCCACCCTCCTCTGGGGACCCAGTGTGTGGGATGCCCACGTGGGCTGAGCTGGCCTCCAGGGCACACACCCGGCTTCCCCCAGATGCCTCAAGGGAAGAAAGCAGGAAGCCCTCGTGCTCATCTGCTCTACGAGGTTCCAGACACTGAGCGTCGCTCATTTTGGGTGCAGGTCTCGTCCTTCTGCTCGTGGACATGACGACCTTTGCTTCACAATGTGCTTCAAACCCCCTTCTTGTCTCAACAGGAAGAAGCGGACTCTGTTCCTTATGTGACACCTTCTCTGGTTTTATCTTGAGAAGTCGTTTTCATTAAGCTTGGACTCCTTCCACATGGGGGCATTTTAAAACGTGTGGTTTTATGACGGCAGAACATGGGAGTGATGACACGGCTCTGGGAGGACTTATCTGCAGACACTTCAGATCTGAGAAGGGACCTCAAAGGACACTGTCCCCACCCTCCTCAATGTGGCCCCGCAAGCAGGGCAGGCGGACACGGTGTTCCAGGCTGATCTGGGCAGGTCCCAGAGGAAGCAAGGCTGGAACAGCCCATGTACCCGCCCAGGAGTGGGGACCCGGCCTTGCTCGTGCTCCCTGGAAGCCCCACAGCAGCTTGCAGACCTCACGTGGGCAGGCAGAGCAGTCCCCAGAGCCCGGGTCTGCCTTCTCTGTCACCTCGCTCTGCACAGACGCGACGAACGGAATTTTAATGTGCAGTTTGAGTGACACCAATCAAAGCGAAATGCAAATGGCAGAGCCCAGAGACCCTCCTAAGTGCCAGGAAGCAGGTGACGGGGACCCGCTATCACCCTAGGGATGTACGTGTCACCTGGCCCTCCTGCCTCCTCCTGAACTCGGAACCTCCCTCATCCTGCTGGGTGCGTGGGGCCACCCCTGCCCCCCATCTCGGCATAGCCATTTTCCAGGCCGAAGCTGAGGCTGCCTGCTTGCTGGCCGCCACTCCGGCCATTAGCGCTCGTCGGCACCGCTAGGAGGAGAGGGTGGCCTACACCCACCTGCTCCGCTTCCTTTGCTGGGGTCCCGCCGGTGGTCAGCAGCTATGCTGCTGGCACAAGGAACACCACTGTTCTCCGTGGCCCCAGAAAGACAAGCCCTCCTCCCAGATGTGCACCCCAGCCTATGCGCAGACCCCTCAGGAGGGCAAGGCGACAGCCCCTTCATGGGGGCCTGGAAGGTTTCGCCCACAGCATGGGACATCCCACCAGTGGCTTTGGGGTGACGGTGAGCAAGTGACCAGGGGAGTCTCCGTGGGCTGCACCACCTGCTGCTAGAAGTTTCACCTCGGCAGCTACTGGCTGGTTTCCAGGAATGAGGCCCAGCGTCCAGCCACGTTTGGGAGGCGTCCTCGTGAGACTGAGGGTCGGCGCCCACCCTCCATGCTGGGTGAGGTGCAGCGGCGGTGGCCTTGCCAAGGAGCCGCTTGTCCACTGTCTCTGGGGATGGCTCTGACAGGGACTTGCAGGGTCGTCCAGCACTGTCCTGACCAGAGCTCAGGGCCAGCCGTAGTCGGTGGCCTCCAGGTCTGAGAGCAGACACAGCCCCTTGCCTTGCAGGCTCTGGGCAGTCTGGGCGCCTGTGGGCTGGACCGGCTGCAGCCGAGCAGACTGGTGGTCAGAGGAAGTGGATGCTCTCCATGCTCCCCTCCTCCCGACTTGTGCTTCCGAATCACCCAGCCCGTGTCTGCCAGAGCTGCACACAAGTCTGAGGAAGGCCTACAAATGTTGAATTCGGCCCCTCAGTCTCCTGGCCTGACCTGTGACCCGTGGGTCCCTCACTCCTTCGCCACATGGGGCACCTGCTCCCCAAACAGCTCCAATGTGGATGTGGTGCTGACTTCTGGCTTTGTCCTCTTGGGCCTGTGAGGAACAAAGATGCTCTTCTATCGAAGACTGGATAATCCACCACTGGGCAGCCTGGCATGGGCCTGGTGATGCAGAACACACGGCCACCGCAGAGTGGGCATGGCACTCCAGGATGGATGAGGATGGGGCCGGGCGGCTCCTCGTGGGGGATTCTTGCTGACCATCAAGGGGGCTCAGAGGGGGCTCGCCAGGCACTGTGGTCACCCAGACCACAGGATGGCACAGGCTAAGCCACCAACCAGAAAGGAAATGTGGCCTAAAGCAAGGTTTCAGTGGCAGAGGCCACCCGATGGCTCTGAAAGCAACTGAGGCCTCACAACCTCCTCGAAACTATTACAGTTACTTAGAGTAATTAAATGTCGCAGGCATGGATCCTTCAAAGATGACAGCACCATCCACGTTATGAGTAGGAAACCCATTAGCTTCATGGTTAAAAGCGGGAGAAGGGGAAAGCGCTTCCCTCCTGACGGGCTGTCACTCCTGCCTGAGCCACCCACCCTGGGAGCACTCGGAGCTGTAAGTCACTCCCAGTCTTCACGGGCACAGTAGCCCATTCTGCAGCTTCTGATGGCAAAGAAGGGCTGATTTTACACCTTGGGGACAGTTCTGGGGCCACCCTGTCCCCCCAGGTGCCGATGCTCGCTCTGCCACAGAGCCCCATGCCTCCTACAAGTGCAGTCAGAGCCCACTGTGATGGGCAGGTGGGGTTCAGAGGCCAAAGCTCGAGACATAGGGTGACGGGCCAGCTGGGGGAGTGCCTGGTCCACTGTCCTTGGCCCCATCCGGTGGGAGGATGTCACTTTGGCATTGGCGGGGGTAGTTCTGGGTCTCGCTCACAGCCCTACTGGGGGCCCCGCGATAGGCACAGTGGCTCCTGGGTCGGGGGTGGCCCAGGCAGAGACCATGGTCGGAAAGGTGGCAGGACAAGGCGGGCAGCCCCGACTCCATTTGCTGTGACACTGGCTGCTGCTTGCCACGTGCCCTGGGCCCCCTCGCCGACCTCAGGCAGCAGGAGAGGTGCTCAGACTCTGGGGCTAATAAGCTAGAGGGCCACCCGGGCCTGTGTCCAGAACATGGGGCCTGAGTCATGGGACATGTCCAGCTGGCGTGGTCCAGGAGCACAGTCTGCAGACCCCACTCCTCCCTGTGTCTTTGACTCTGGTGACTTCTGTGCTCAACGCCTGCAAAGTACGAGTTTCACAGAAGTGGGCAACCCTGGAATGGCCTGAGCGGCAGGTGGAGAAAAAGCCCCTCTTCTCAGCAGAGTGTCAGAGGCGGCCCAGGGGTCCAGGCCGCCCGGGGCTGAACTCCCGTGTTCTCCTCCACATTTCTGATCTGCAAAGCCATGCTTGCGAGTTTTTATCATGGCCGCTTGGCATGTGTGACGCAGACTCCACTGGAGGGATTTGGTGTTTTGAGGGCAGAGTGCCAGCCAGGTGCAGGCAGAGGAACTCCTGTGTTGCATGGGCTCTTGTGGGCCAGCTGGAGCCCCGATGCTCACCGGAGTGGAGCCACGGGGTATTGAGCAAAGGGCAGGCCTCACTGTGTGGTGTTGGGCCTTGGGGAGTGGGGGCTGCATGGCAGCCGAGAAATCAGGGGGGAGGTTCCACTGACACTGTTCCTGAACCGTCTGCCCGCCCGTCGCCCAGAAGGGACTAGGGAGAGCTGCATGCTGCTGGTGACTGCTGCAAACACTGCAGTCCAGACCAGCACACCCTGCCCAATGACCGGCTAACACACTCTCCTCTTTTGTTGAGACACAATATAAAATGAGATCAGGTAAAAAACACAACGGAGGCTACAACAAAACTTGAAGGAAAACTCTTGCTGGTGTTTAGAAATAGCCGCCCGCTGTCCAGCACGTCACGGGGAACATGTGTATCTCTCTGTTCCCCACCTGGACGGGGCGCCTGGTGATTGTGTGCACCTGTCCAGCGAGGTCAAGAGCCCCGCCCAGCCTGCTCACACCTTATATCCACCTCACACCCCCTCCTGCAGTCACCACGGTGCACGGGGCCTTGCCCAGGTGCACCAACCCCTTCCGGACATAAGAACCACCTGGCAGAGCTGCCCTTGCCCTAAGGGGACAGACTGGGGCCTGTCCTCAGGGCCCAGGAGGTACTAATGCTGCCCTGCCCCAGAGGTGCAGCCATGCTCCTGTTCACCTCCCCAACCTCAGCCCCCCTTGTGCCGGGCCTGCCTCCCGTGCCCCCTACAAGGACACGCTCAGAGCCACGTCTGCCCAGGAATCCTCCAGAACTGGCGTGAGCTGGGCAGGTCTCTTGGGACAGGACCCTGTCTGTCCGGCTTCCTGGTCACTTCTCACATATTTGAGGATCTAAGCCAGAGATCAGATGGTAAATGGAACACGTCTTCTAGCAAGAAGACGTTTTTGAAAGACCTGGTTAAATGCTTCACGCTTTAAGTAAAATCATTTTAAATTGCACGCTCTCAATTAGGAAGCACTTAGCAAATTGCCAGTCTGTGTTTTACGGATGTCCTTGGGCGCTGCAGGGAACGGGAAGTGACCTGTGTGACCCACACAGCGACCCTCCTCCCACTGCACTTTGTCACGGTGCTGGTTCATACTTGGTTGCTGTGGCAACCAGACTTCATAGCCCCAGGTGTCCCCTGCTGCTCAGATCCACACAGGTGTCACCAGCTAGCCTGAAAACAAAATCCATAGTAATGACCTTAGCTGGCTTTACTGGTTTGGGATAAATATGAGAATGCTTCCTGTCAACGGAAATGAGACTTGGCAACAGAGATTTTTCAGGATTAACATATTCAAAATATTTAACATATATCTGGCTGAAGGGCACAATGCCTTACCATTTCTTTGTCTTTTGCTTCCTGTGCATGAAAACTAGCTGATGGGACTTCCCTGGTGGTCCAGTGGTAAAGAATCCACCTTACAATGCAGGGGACGTGGGTTCGATCCCTGGTCAGGGAATTAAGATCCCACATGCCACGGGGAAACTAAGCCCGCGTGCCACAACTGCTGAGCTTGTGTACCTCAGAGCCTGCATGCTGCAAACTACAGAGCCCATGCACCCTGGAGCCTGTGCGTCACAACTAGAGAGAGAAAACCTGCACGCCATGTCTAGAGAAGAGGAAGAAAACCCTGCATGCCACAACTAGAGAAGAGAAAACCTGCACGCCACAACTAGAGAGAAGCCTGCGCACCACAACGAAGATCCTGCATGCCACAATGAAAGATCCTGCGTGCTACAACTAAGACCCAATGCAGCCAAAAATAAATAAATCTTAAAAAAAAAAAAAAAGTAAAGAAAATTAGCTGAAGCTCGTCTCAAAGTGCCTTGTGAGACCCCTCATGAGATGCTGGGCAGTGCTTTCTTGGGGTTGCTCAAGACGAGGGGAGGTTCTGACCTGCCTCCTGCCTGTGCAGCCCAGGCCCACTAGCCATGTGGGGCTGCTGAGCTTGAAACGTGGTTGGCGGTGGTCGGGCAGACCTGCTCTCTGTCAGCCCAGGAGGCACGTGTGTCCACAGGTCCTGTGCGGAGCGGCCACGCCCACCCAGCACCACAGCAGGGTGAGCTCTTGTCCCCCACCCCTGTGCCACGGAAGTGGGGTAACCCTCACCCACATAATCCTGGAGGATGATCCACTCACCCACAGCTCTCAAGAGCTTCCCCACACTGATGGACATGGTTCCTGGCGTCCTCCTCGCTGCCCATGGGCAGGCCCTGTCACCTGAGGGAGGAGAGGCCAGTGTGTCCACGCTCGTCAGAAATAACAGGGAGGGTCAGCTCCTCTGGAAAGGAGGGAATCACATACACTTCTCCACCTGGCAGGCACCCAGGGTAGAGGTCAGGGCAGAGGTCGGGCCAGCCCCAAGGCCTCTGCCCCACGTGGACACCGTCTCTGCTGGGGCCATGGCAGGGGACACACCAGCCTTCTTCCTGCCTCTACTTGTCCATGACTCTGGGATGCTCGCTGTCTCTGGCCCTCCGTGAGGTTAGCGTGACGGGCAGCTCCTGGGCCCAGAGGCCGGGATGGCTGATGAGGGCAGGGAGCCTCACAGACCCTCTCTGGGTGGCACGTACACCCACGGAATGAGGAGGGGAGGGAGGGCGTCTCGGCCACAGAACCAGGACCCAGTGGGCTCCGCCAGCTGCCACAATCTTGCTCAGGGGTCATTTGCAAGGGAGCCTGGTGGTGGTTCAGGGACTCGGGGGGGGGCAGTGACAGCTTCCAGCATCATGTCCTCGATGCCATTAGAAGAGATTTCCTTTCTTCTAGAAGGATCAGTGTACGGCAGAGGGTCAGGTATCAGGTAAGTCAGCTGATGCAAGTCATCATGGGAAAACACCATAGGTGACCCACAGAGAGACCCACAGGGAGAGAATGAAGCTGACCAGGGCCCCCCTGACTGCCTCACCTGTTCCTCTGCTCTGCCCAGGGGTCTCCTCCCTTGCTGGCGGCCCAGGCGCGTCAAGTCCCTGTCCCCAGTGCCCATCCCTATGGCCCTTTGGTCAGGTCTCTGCTCAGATACACCTTCCCTGGATGTAACATACACCTGGGCCTCAGTCCATTCCGGCACTGCCTAGCCTGCAACACTCACCCCACCACACACTGCTCATCTCAATTATTTCCATTCTCCACTCATTCTGCACCCAGAACACAAGCTCCAAGCAGACAAAGTAAAGCAACCATAGTAAGAATTCTTAAGAACATAAATGAAAATATGACCGATCATAAGACATAAACAGACGAGAGAACTTGGAAGAGAAACAGAACGATAAAAAAAGAACAAACATTCTAGAACTGAAAAATAAAATATCTGAAATTAAAATTTTACTAGATGAGCTTAATAGCAGATTGGATGACAGAGAATAAAAAGGTGGTGAAGGGACTTCCCTGGTGGCGCAGTGGTTGAGAGTCTGCCTGCCGATGCGGGGGACACGGGTTCGTGCCCTGGTCTGGGAAGATCCCACATGCCGCGGAGTGGCTGGGCCCGTGAGCCATGGCCGCTGAGCCTGCGCGTCTGGAGCCTGTGCTCCGCAACGGGAGAGGCCACAACAGTGAGAGGCCTGCATACAGCAAAAAAAAAAAAAAAAAAAAAAGAAAAGCTCTAACATATATGTAATTGGAATCTTAGGAGAGGAGAGAGAAATGGGGCATAAAAAACTTTTAAAAAATACTGGCAAAAATTAGCCAAGTTTGGTAAAAGACATAAATTACAGACTCAAAAACCTCAGGGAATCATAAGCAGGATAATGCCACATGCAGGCACATCGCAGTCAAACTGCTGCAAACCAAAGACAAAACCTCCAAAGCAGTCAGAGAAAAGAAAGACATTATGCTCAGAGAACTGACAAGAGGAAGAGCAGCCGAGTTCTCGTCAGTAACAACGGAGATGAGAAGACGGTGAACTGAGTGCAGAGTCTTGCACCTGACGGAACTGTCTGTTCCGAGATTAGAGCCAAGAATCCAGAAGCTTTTCAGACAGCAAGAGACTCAAACTGCTTGCATGAGGACAATGTTGAGCATAGTCAAAAATTTAAAGGGGAAATAAAGCAGTATAGGTGTGGAGGGAGGAATCACTACCTCCACCAGGAGGATCTATCAGGCCGTCTGCCCAAGCAAGGAGAGATGGAAAGCCATGCATCATCACACACTATGCTTAGAAGGCATTCAGTAAAAACAGGCCGTTCTCTCTAGGACATAAATCAAAGAGGTAAGATTGTGACTTAAATACCTTACATTAATAACAATAAACAGAAAAAATACTACCCATCCTTATAAAAAACATTATAGCCTATAAATGAGAAAGCAGGTGAAACTTCTCTATTAACTAAGATATGCTTTCATTTCAGGAATTTTAATTTCACTTGCCAGATATGCAGAATCCTCCAGCTGTCATTCCCATAGCTAACCATGCCCTTCCCCACCAGCCACTGAAACCAAGGATCTCTTGTGTGGAAAGGACAGGGCATGAGGGTTTTGAGGAGAGATACTAACTGAGCAGGTCCTTTGGAAAGTTAGGCGAGGAGCTTGGCATGAAGCAAACCTTCCCTCCTCATGAGGAGCATCTGGTGCAAACAGACAAAAAGTCCTGTAAGTTCTCACATGGACTCAATCTTAGGACAGAATAGATTCAGTGTTTTTCTTAAATAGGAGCGGTGACTAGTTGGGGGCATGAGGGAACTTTCTGGGGTGATGGTAATTTTCTATATCTTGATGGGAGTCTAGATTACACAGGTGTATGCATTTGTCAGAACTAACAATGTCCACTTATGATCTGCACATTTCATTGTGTGTGAATTCTTCATCAAGGCAAAACCCTGAAGGTGCACTGAGCTCTTGTTAACGACCTTCCCACTGAGTCTTTAGTATTTAGGGGCAGGATACTGACAACTGACATTTACTCTGGATTGCATCAAAATACATGAAGGGTTGGTGGTGGACAGAAAGATGAACATATGAGCTACCACCACCACCACAACAAAAACTAGTAAAATATAAACTGTAGAATCTAGGTGGTCCATAGATGGGTTTTTTACTATACAATTCAACTTTTTTTGTATGCTTGAAAATTTTCATAAATGATTTTAAAAGTCTATTCAACACTGTAGTGGAGTTCTTAGGCACCGCAAAAATGAGAAAAAGAAATAAAAGTTTAAGGCCTGAAGTGGAAAAAAATATGATTGCCTATATAGAAATAAAAAAACAAAAAAAACCAAGAGAACCTACAGGAAACGAGCTCAACTACTGAGTGGTGGTAACAGAGTGACTGGAAATGACATTAAAAGGAATTCTCTGCTGGACTTCCCCGGTAGCACAGTGGTTAAGAATCCGCCTGCCAATGCAGGGGACACGGGTTCAACCCCTGGTCCGGGAAGATCCCACATGCTGCGGAGCAGCTAAGCCCGTGCGCCACAACTACTGAGCCTGCGCTCCAGACACCGTGTGCCTAGAGTCTGTGCTCCGCAACAAGAGAAGCCACTGCAATAAGAAGCCCATGCACTGCAACAAAGAGTAGCCCCTGCTTGCGGCAACTAGAGAAAGCCCGCACGCAGCAACGACGACCCAACGCAGCCAAAAGAAAAAAAAAAGGGAATCCTCTGGGGTGCTTGGGAACGAAGTTCTTCTGAAAATTAAGTAAAGGAAAGGGTGAAGGGTTTATTCTGACATCCCCAGAGAAACTGCATTTAGAGCAACCAGAGAGTTGATGAGGGAAAGTTACTTTGATTAAAAAAAATCCCCAATAACAAATGCAAACAGAACAACAGAATTAGAACATTGCCAGCTTGAAGGCCCTAGCGGATGAGTCCAGGCAATGAACACCGAGGCTGCTGGGGCCCAGCAGTGCGGCTGGTGGAGAACTTTCTAATGACAGGTCAGGCTGGGAAGGCCTGACCCCAGCAATCTCACCATTGCAGAGAGAGATGGGAAAGGCAGGCTGTGCCTCCTGATTGGCGGCAACAGAAAGTCCCAGCACCCAAGAAGCATCTTTGCCAGAAGCAAAGCTGACTGATGCGGCCTGGAGCTCTCCTACCAGCTCACAGTGAGGGCGGGGGGCCTGGCACTCCCAGACAGAGAAACACCTTGTCCGGAGCATAAAGGAGGAGCCTCTGGAGAGGCAATAAGGGCACATCAATGAAATGTGTCAGATCCCTATTTGGACAGAATGTAGAAAGGACATTATTTAGGAGACAACCAGGAACATTGGAATGCTGACTACATATTTGATAGAACTCGTCCTAAGCTTTCAGGTGTGATGCTGGTATTGTAGTCACATTGTTTTAAAAGACCCCATCTCTCAGAGGTGTACAACAAGGTATTTCTAAATGCAATAATGCAACGCCTACGGTTTACTTTAAATAGCAGAGTGGAAGGGGTCACCCGCACATGGAAGACAGGCACGTCTTGGGCAGTGAAGCGTCTGAGACGCTTGCCGGGGCTCACAAGGCCACTCTGTTTACTTTCAGATTTGTTTGATGTTTTTCATATTCAAAAATTAAAGAAACGTTTAAAACTGATCACTGGCATTCTCTCTGAGTGCAAGCAAATTGCGAAATGTTTTTTATATATATATATATATATATATATATATATATATATATATATATATATGGGCTGCGTC